GAAACAGGCTCCAGGCTCTGAGCTATCAGCCCAGAGCCCGGAGCCTGTTTCTGATTCTGTGTCTCCCTCTCTCTCTGCCCCTCCCCCGTTCATGCTCTGTCTCTCTCTGTCCCAAAAATAAATAAACGTTGAAAAAAAAAAAAATTAAAAAAAAAAAAAAAGTATAACTTTTATACATCATATAGCAATTAGAGCATCCATAGCTATTTTTTTCCTCCCAATTTGTTTACCATAGAAAGTAAATAAAAATTAAATTATATATTTCTTCTTATGCCACAGTGCTTCATAAGGGGCCACTTGTAAAAATATGTGACATATGGAGATTAAATGTCAATTCTTTATGTTCACATGATGCTGAAATTGCTTCTTTTCAGAATTATTTTTACCATATACTGCTGAGGCCAACCAGTATAGGAAGGAAGGCTCTCTGTAGCTTGTAGTTCATATTATTTTTTCTTTGGGGATGACAATTGATCTTTCTGGAACCCTGGATCTTTTGGGAATGGAAAGATAGTAACTATTTGGTGAATGTGGCCTTGACAATAAGGCCAAGTTGCTTACTTAGGCTCCTTGCCACATTAGAGTTTTTCCTGGTACCTGGCAGTCTCAGTAATAGGTTTTCATTACTCTGCCTTCATGACTCCATTATCCTTTATTACAGGGCAGGGCAGGAGCACACTGGAATCAGATGGTGCCCTAAATGTGGCAATATGACGGTATTTGGAGATCTTGCTTTGGGGAGGTGACTAAGTCATGAGGGTACAGACTCATGAATAGGATTAGTGCTTTTATAACAGAGACTACAGAGAGCTCCCTTTCCCTTTCTATTAATTACAGTTTCTATAAGCCAATATATTGTTTATGGTATTCTTTTAATGTTTATTTGTTTTTGAGAGAGAGAGACCGAGTGCCATCAGGAGAGGGGCAGAGAGAGGGAGACACAGAATTGGAAGCAGGCTCCGGGCTCTGTCTGTGCTGTCAGCACAGATCCTGACATGGGGCTTGAACTTGTGAACTGCGAGAGATCATGACCTGAGCTGAAGTCAGACACTCAATGAACCGAGCCACCTGGGCACCCCGACTGTTTATGATATTTTTATCATAGCAGCCTGAATGGACCAAGACAGTGGTCTTAGGCTGATTGGGCTAGGGCAAATTGGAAATTCTACTGAAGTGTGACCAAGACCCTGACTGCAGTGTATTAGGACTTTCAATTTGGTAATAATGTTCATATCTGAGACCTCTTGAGAACCCTCTGTCCCTGATTACGTGGAACTTGCAGTAAATTCGCGTTCTGATGATCTCTTAGTCCCCAGTGTTATGCTTATTGTCTCTTGGGGTTTGGGGATTCTGATCAGACTTTGGTGTCCTCTCGTGAATTTGACTTTAAACACCATCTCCTATCTTCTACTTGCCCACCATCTTATATTATTTGTCTGTGAAAACTTTCCCCAGTCTTGTCAGTTGCATGAGAAGTTTGCTTTGGGAGAGACCTTCTATCCACCCATGTTGCCTTCTAACCATGTTTCTCAGGTCAGTAGTCATGTGGTTTAACATTAGGGTTAAAGCCTGAGACAAACATAGCAGTGTTTTACATTTGATAGAACACCAGGCAGTTTTTCATGGGTTTGTCACCTAATAGACTTGTACTACCTCCTGGCATAATTTAGGAGAGAATTGTAATGGCCATTCTGGGGAACTTGGAAATAAACAAGACTTGCACTTGAGAGGCACCTTGAAGAACAATATCAAAGAAACAAAACCTCAGGAGAGCCTTTGTGTTATTTCTCTACAGGAGACCACTTTCTTTATGTGGAAGACTGGCCATCTTTTATTTCCATACTTCAGAGCTTTGTATGGCTTATATTTAAACTTTATCCTGTATTGAAGAGGGAAAGTAATTAGCTTTTACAGGAATACTTTCATATTTATATTATTAATTAAACAAGGAAACTATTAGACTGAGGCTTTAATGCTTTAGTAGTACATGTAAGCAAACCAAAACAAACCTATAATGCCTCAAAGTTAAGAAATTGAAACCTAAAGACATCTAATCATAGCCAACTAGGCTTTCCCATATAAGGCAACCAGTTAAACTACAGCCAAACAAATAATTGCTTTATAAATAATAAATATAAATAAATAATAATAAATAATATAAATATGAATAAATAATATATAAATAATATAAATAATTTGCCTCTTCTCTATAAGTCTCCCTTAGCTCTAATTAGTGGAGACCTTCTAACCATTGGCCACTGCCTAATACAAATAGATTATTATTCAACCTTGATGAGGGAGCATAAGGCAAGCTGACAGTCCGCAAACACCCCACCCCCATCCGCAGGTGGGATATGTGTGATACTGCTTTGCTAGAGGGAAAACAACCTTAGCTTGACAATAGCTAGGCCTCCAGTATCCTGTGAGTTTTCTTTAGCAGATGAAAATCTCACTGGAAACTTCCCCTGGACTTTACCTCCCCCCAACTCCATGGTATAAAACCAGTCTCTCTTCATGGTCCCAGGGCAGCTCTTTCTGCCCAAGGGACCTGTCCCCATGCTTTAAATAAAATCATCTTTTTGCACCAAAGATGTCTTCAAGAATTCTTTCTTGGTTGTCAGCTCTGGACCCCACGAATCCGTCTGTCACCCCCAAAAAACCTCATCAAACCTCACATTTTTTTAAAGATTTTTAATTTTTTAAAGTAATCTCTACACCCAATGTAGGGCTCAAACCTACAACGCCCAGCTCAAGAGTTGCTTGCTCTACCGCTGAGTCAGCCAGGCGCCCCTCAAACTCAAAAAAAATTTTTTTTCAACGTTTTTTATTTATTTTTGGGACAGAGAGAGACAGAGCATGAACGGGGGAGGGGCAGAGAGAGAGGGAGACACAGAATCGGAAACAGGCTCCAGGCTCCAAGCCATCGGCCCAGAGCCCGACGCGGGGCTCGAACTCACGGACCGCGAGATCGTGACCAGGCTGAAGTCGGACGCTTAACCGACTGCGCCACCTAGGCGCCCCTCAAACTCAAAATTTTTAATATGCCATCTGGCTCACCATTTTTTCTGCTTCTCTCCCTATTTTTTCCTCCCACTTGAAAATTTTTAAAGATGAATTAAAAAAAAAAGTCATTGTGTCATATGTGCAATCTAGGAATATCTACTCCAAATAAACAATCTAAAATGTCTAAGAGAAAAAAGCTTATAAACTATTTGTGCTGCTTTTGCATAAAAATATGGACAGTGTAAGTAATAGCTTTTGTTAAATATATTTTGTTAGTATGATTAAAGATAAAAGAGGAGCTTTTAAATATGATTTAATGAGGGGTGCCTTGGTAGCTCAGTTGGTTAAGCCTCCAACGTCAGCTCATGTCATGATCTCACGGTCCGTGAGTTTGATCCCCACGTTGGGCTCTGTGCTGACAGCTTGGAGCCTGGAGCCTGCTTCAGATTCTCTGTCTCCCTCTCTCTCTGACCCTCCCCCATTCATGTTCTATCTCTGTC